AAACTCATCTAAATTTAAAAAATTGTGAAAAAAATTTTTTTATAAAATAAATTTTTTTTTTTTTTTTTTTTTTGATTAGACAATTATTCCATTATTTCAGGAACAACGCACAGATTAAAAACCCAAATGCGGTGGTTGAGTTTATTTTATGGTTAGATTTTGGGTAAAAATGCAGCAATGTCTGTAGAAATGTATAATTTATCATGCTTTTTGTAGCTACAATATGTTCAATCAGCTCATGCACAGAAAACTAATCCGAGGCAAAGTAAAGTAATATTACGAGATTAATGGCAGGCTTGTGTCCTTTATATGTTGTGATTACAGCACTGGGGACTCCACACAAAGAAGTGAACAATCTGTTTTTATTTTATTAAATACAACTGTTCTTAGATGAGGTCCATGACTGAATTCAGTTTTATCAACATATTTAAAATGTTTTATCTGTATATTATGAATTGGCTTTATTAAAGTGATGAAAGTGTGTTTTTTTGACTCATCGGTCTTAAAGTGAGAGAAGACATTTTGATAAATCTGTGTGAAATGTAATTATAAAGTGATATATTTAAATTTATCTTAATCGGCTTGTTTAACAACTTGTTTTACACTAACTTGGCTTCCAACAATAACAGGTTGTTTAATTAATTATTTAAAGGTGTGTTAAAACATTAACACTGCTCCCAGGGCTCCTACAGTGTGGTCTGTCCTTCCTGTTAACCTTAATTTCCGCCATTCCTGGAGACCTTCTTTCTCTTTGCTTTCCTTTGGTTTTTATGTGTACATATTTGTGTCCAGCCTTCTTTTTTTCATTTCATATTTTCCTACTTCTGTAATTTTCTTAGTCTTTCCTTCTTTCCATGTTTTTGCTTTCCCCTCTTTTTTTACATTTGTGTCCCCCTGTCATTATTTTTATCGACTTCTTTTCTTGATTTTTGTTACCCTTTTTTTTTTCCTTCAGGAGCAACATTTCTCCCTTTTGTCCTCTTATTCTCCATCTTTACTAATTTATTTTCCTTGTTTTTGTCCTTCATTTGATTCTTCCATCCATCTGTCTTAAAATTTTCCATTGTGTTCACTTCTTTTCTGCCTTTTCTTCCATCTTTACTTGTATGTCTTGTGTCCTAATTATCTGAGACCTGGGAACTCCGACAATAAGTTGGTGTTCATGCCTCATTTATTCAATATTTTTGTCATTGTGTTGCTGACAGAAACAAACACAAATATTCATACTTCTACAGAATAATAAACAATTTACTATGATTAAGTGAATTTACAAGACATCAAGATTACAACTCAAGAGTTTGTAAATTATTAAGCTAGATTTGCCAAAAATAAATCAGAGGCCGACACCAATAGGAATACAAAAACTGATGTGTTCTTCTACCAGGCCTGTTGCTTTTCTCCGCGCATCGATTACTCAGGTCTGAGTCGGACCGGAAGTGAAAGTAGAATATCGCGTCCAAGATGGTGGCCACCAGAAGAGGAGCATACGCGAACTCTCCCCCTAAAAGAGCGGAGGAAAAGCAGCCGGTTGTCCAGGTACGTACAGTAGATATGTGTATTTGAAGCTGGGAACTGGCGGAGGCCCTGTGGATGTTTGAACGGTGGCGATTTAAAGCAGTCACGTGGCTGCTGCTGGTCTCGCGTGTGTGGTTCTGCCGAAGCTTCACGTGGACAGATAGGAGGTGATCTGTCTGAGTTTACAAACATTTTTATAACAGAAGCTGCTGGAAACAAAACACGCCGTGTGAACCAAACAGACCAGGTTGTAAAACTCATTCAGGTGGAAGAT